AATAAGTCAGCAAACTAGCATCCCATCAATTGCTACTCCAGTAACGCAATTCCTTTAATCACTACTCCAATGATGCAATTCCATCGATTTATGATTCCATCAATTGCTACTCCAATGATGGTTGTTGTTTCTGATACTGGCAACTAATTCTAGTATATGATTCTAGTAACTGATTCTAACGGATGAATCTGGCAAACTTATAGTTTTTTTCATCCAAGAGGGCAGTAAACTTTCACTTTCTGGTTGTTTCACTTCCTCGTAACTCAATAGCGACACTGATGGCTTCGTTACGCCATTACTCGATCTTTTAAAAATTATCCAGCTCTGTATTTATCTGATCGTGGGGTGGACCCTCAAAGTTATTGCTAAATTTGATAAATCTAAGCATAACAAATTTAATAACAAAAAAATAACAGTCCATAGTTACATAACATTTCAATTTCTCAGGACATGTCTGCACGCAGTGATCTACCATTTAGTTAATGTAAGGCCGGCTGCTCCGTCTAGCAGCCATATATATATATANAGTCTATATATATATATATATATATATATATTTGATTTTAATAGAATTTGTTTTATGATTTGAAGCTATAAAAATATACTACGATGTGCAATGCATAATTTTTATGTAATAATTAGAATAAATCAAATAAATTTTTTTTATTGAATTTTTTTATGGAAATAAAATATTAATTTGAATGCAATTATTTCAAGGAGGTATTTGAGAAGTTTCTTATGAAATCAATTTTTGTAATCACGCTTTTTATGAAGTGTAGGAGGAATGGAATGAAATTTCTTCAAATAAATAAAAAGTCATTTGAAAAACACCTTTTGATCAATATACAGTGAAAAGCATAGTTCTTCAGTGCAGAGTAGTAAATAAAATATCACAAATTATTTTATTTCCTCAATTTATATTCTGAAAACCATTTTTTGTCACTAAAAATTTGCGCAATTGCAGAAGGACAGAATATCGTTTAATCTTATCATGGCTCAAAATTGAACCATATTATCAGTAAAGAACCGAATTGATCCCATGTGATAAAAATGCTTTGTAACCTGCCTATCTTGTATGTTGACAGCTGTCAAACTTATTTAGGAATATTATAGAAAACCCTTCATAAGTTAACTGAAATTTTTTAAAAACTTTTCTATATTATTATATTACGCATAAAAATTTTGCAAGATTTGTGAAATGATATTAAAGACTAACCTACTTATGAATTGACCATAAGATGAACCAAACATATGACATTTGTACCGAAGAAGTTTGTAAAATAATAGAAGAAAAATGAAACTACAATAAATGCAATGCTTTCTAATTGCATATATGCTCTAATGTTGGGATGCATCACTATAAAAATATGTAATATTTAAAACTAATTGTTTTAATTTTTATAAACAAATTGTAATTAATTGTGCAATTTACCTTATTTTTAAAAATATGTGGAGTATTTTCGGAATCAAATTTTAAAGACATGTTAAAAAAATTTTACTTATTTTATTCTGTGATACATAAGAATTATATAGTATATATGAAGATAACATGATTTTAGATATGTTAAAAATCATCAGGACCACCTATCTTAATTGAGTACTAAAGAAGGTTTCACTGACTCTAGAATTTATAACATATGTTGTAAAGCTGTTTCTTACAGTACTTTTAATACAATGAAGAATTATTTAAACTAATGTTTTGAAAAATGTTACAAACAAAAAGCGGAGTATCATGAAATGATTTTTGAAGTAAAATAAATTTTTACACTTAAAAATACAGTTCCTTTAAACGAAATCCTTTCGAAACATAAATCGGGGAGCCTTTTAACGAAGTTCCCTCCAATTTTTTTCAGAGAAACGCGGGTAACTGCATCTAATAGTTTGGCCGGAATTTTTTTTTTTTAGAAAAAAGAGCAAGAAAGTTTTTTAAAAAAATTATTTAATTGAAAAAAAAACTATGTAATAATAAAACGACTAAAATTGCGTTAAATTATGATTAGGTACAAAATATGTCTTTATTCAAATAATGTTCCTTTAAGAAACTCAAAGCAGTTTACAATCAGTAAAATTATGCAGTAATATAGTTTCGAATAATTTAAAAATTGAACGGAGAACAAGTTTTTGAAATATTTATAAAAATAAATTACATTGAAGTAAACTTTTTGTGAAAATTTTTATGTTAAAAACGAATAAGAACAGATGAGAAGAACTTACTTTATTTACGAAACATTTCATAGAAAAATGATACTTTGGGGCACACTATATAAAATTTGTTATTTAAAAATAATCTAAAAAAAACTTTTTTGAAGAACTATTTTATTCTTATTATGCAAATAAATTTTTTGGTAGTAAAAATAAAAGCTATTTAAAACTATTTTGATGCTTTAAAAATGTAAATGAAAGTTTTCATTTACGGTATTAGGAAGTAAAAGCACACTTTTTGCAAACATAACAAAGGAATATTTATGTTATGATTTTCGCAATTAGTTGATTCGTATTGTATGGAAAATGACAAACAAAACTTTTTGAATTTCACAAATAAAATAGTTTAGTATCGATAAAAAATATTAAAAGATTTATTAAAATCTAATTCTGAAAAGAATGAAATAAATCAGAGAAAATGAGTGAATCTCATAAGTTTTCTTGTTCTCTATTCAGTGAATCAGATATTCTTTAAACAGAACAAATAATTATTGGCTTTTCTATGTTGTGTTAGTCTCTGTTCATTCGAAATCAATACAATCGTTTGTGTCATAATCAGTTTTAATCATATTTTTTCAGTTACACTGTTCTTTTTTCCTCCCGATTTTATTTATTTATTTTTAAAGTACTTAAATATTTAGCCTGGATGCGAGACACTTTATGTAAGACTCTAAAGAGGAATTCAAATATACCAAAATATAGGAAATAGCTGTATAGATATATGGAAATAGCTGTATAGATTAGTTCCTCTAAGGATGTGAATTAAAGGCCATTAAATTTTAATTTTTACTACCTTTATTGATTATTATGTCAATAATATTAAATGGAAAATTAATAGTTTTATGACATTATTAAAAATTTTTATTTTTACTATTAACTTCAATTATTTTGTTTAATTTTCAGTTAAATTTCCGTTGATTTTCATTTTTGCCCTTAAAAATGTATAAATGATTCTTTAATATATAGTCGCATTAAGATGGTTTTTAAATAAAAAAATTAATAAATAAACAGATTCCAATTCGTACATATTTTAGGCATATTAGCATGGATAATAACAAAGTTTTTTTTAACAAATAATGTTATTCTATTTGGAATAGGTATGAATAAATTTATAATCGGCAAATATAGAAGCTTAGTGAGAACATAGACTTATCTGGGCCATAAAATTTTTCTGAAAGACAGTCTAGAAAGTGTCAGAAAAAACAAACGAACAATGCATTTTCATTCTACTTTCGTGCAACAACAGATAATCTTTTAAATCATTCATAAATGCAATGTTGTGGTGTCTCAAACCAAATCAACTCCAGAATTATTAATATTGAGTATCTTTAAATAGATATTCTTTAATTCCTCTTTCCACAACATTAATTTTAGAAATATATATTTTTCCATTTTAAAGGGAAAACAAAAAGTCCCTCAGAGAACTTTTTTACCCAATTGTTTATGTAAGCATTATTTACTTATTTTTTTTTAAAATTCCTTTCCTATTTCTTATAGTATGAGTAACTATTTTAATTTCTTGAATTTAAGAAGCTGAGAAGAATGGGCTGACTGTGTCTTATAAATCTTTTTACTTAATTGTTTTTTTTTTTTTTTACTTACGAAAATAAATGCTTAAATTTGCAAAAGAAAACAAAATTACAGCCCTTATACTCTCCTTTCATAAAACTTTTTGTAGCTAAAAACTCTGACCAATTAAGTCAAATTCAGTTTTTAAGTAATAAAATTGTACCAAATGTTGCCCACTATATTAATTTTATCTTTTTTAATACAAAATATTTAAATCCACGTTTTTGAATCGCCAATTACAGAAAAGTTATTCAAACTTATAATCCAATGTTTGACTCAAAAGAAGCCAACAGTTTATACCGATGTAAATTAGTAACCACAAAATTAGCTATAAATAATTCCACAACTTCACTCAGTAAAAAGTGCGGACAAAACTACCAAAATATGATAAAAGTAACCTTGCTTTATAGGAACACTAAAAAGCTCGGTAATTTTTAATGATTTTGGTAGAATTAGCAATGAAGCATAGTTTTATTATGTGTGAGGAAATTTGGTAAATGTGGTAAAATTTAGTAATTTTATCATGATGCCTTAGAGCTTGGCATAAAAACTATTTATTATAAACCATTATTAATACTTCTCAGTTTTGTATTTTTTACTAAATGAGTTTTATACTAAATTTTGATAATATAAAAAAATATTTTTTACTAAATTTGGAAATTAAGAATTTCTGGTAAACAATTACCATATAAATGAAAAGATTACCGAATAAATTTTTTAAATACCGTATATTTTAGTTTTATTAACCTAAATTATGTTTTTAAATTTTTTTTAAAATTTCTTTTTTTTTTTTTCTTTTTTTTAACCAGAAATGTTATTACGGTATAGTATGGTAATTTTACGGTATAGATTGGACAACATTTGGTACAATTTTACTACTGCTTTCATGAAGTGATTATCATTGTAAAATATAATAGTATTTACCCTTGAGTTTTTAATGGTAAGGAATTCGATTCAAATAACCTTTCAAATATGTTATTATTTGAATTTAGAGGATTTTGTTTCATTATTAAAATGTGAAGACGATAAAAAATATCCTACAATGTGCAAAATATGTTACTAATTAAAATAAATAATTTTTTTACCATAACTAAAAATTGCTAAGGAAATTAATTACGTTTATTTTATCGATTTTTTTATATAAACTATTTTATCGCACTTGAATTTAATTTCTTCTAAATAAAAATAATATCCTTCAAGAGTCTTTGGTAAAAGAAATATAAAAATACCTTGTCCATTTGCAGCTTGCAGAGCAATAGCAGAATTCCACTGTGGTTGTACAAGAGCCCTTTGACCGGTTGTCAAGTGAGAAGACCATACATTAGGTTGTGGTAGTCTTGAGTGATGTGGAGTCATGAAACGGCGGTCATCCAAAATTCGATCCATTAAAAAAAATTCTGGTCCGGATATGTCGTCTGCAGTTTTTAGTTTGGGTCTAAAATTGGCATCATGTCCTGTAGTATGACCCAAATAAAATTCAGTAGGACTCCAAAGAGTAGGTCTTGGTGAGTTTGTCTTAGAATCTGAGAGTAGAGAAGCTACCGAGAAATTCGAGATTAATTCCGATGTTTCTCTTTTAGTGGGTCCCATTAATATTTCACTCTTGGTATCCACATTTTTTAACGCAGGACTTGGACTTCGTGAACAATCTGTTTGGGTATCCATTTCCAAAAATTAATTTCTTAACATAATCCCTTTCGTTGATTTACTTTGCTCAAAAATTAATTTTCTTTTGGCTGCCTGCATTGAATGAGCGGCCGAAGCAAACTGGTTGGGGCAGTAGTCTCAGCCCGAAACTGATACCCGTAACAACAAAATAAAATTCCCTCTCTTGGGGAGAAAAACTCCCTACCTTTTTTTTTTTTCTTAAATTAATTGAGAAATGAAGTAACCGCCTTGAACTAAATAGGTGCTGTGTGTAAAAAGAGGCACCACCTTAATGGGCGTGGTTAAGTTTTATAAAGGTCCTCCCATTGGATGAGTGTTGACATATCCTTGCCTCCCTTTTCGTCGTTCTGAAGATCCTCTTTTAGGTATGAGAAACAATTCTCAGTTTCTTTGATAGTAGGAAAATTTTTCGGACTTTAAAGCTGGCTTCTATTCACAACAATTGAAAACTTTTAAATAGTAAACTAATTTGAAATAAAATTATCGAACATCAAAATAATTACATACCGGGGAATAGTGCGGACAATCTATATTATATACATGTACGTGGTTATAAAATCAATGAGATTTTTAAAAAATAAAACAAAGAAAAAATTTCAAAAAGAAAATTTTTAAAAAAATTAAACGAAGTGGTATATAAACCACATATAAATAACATATAAACCACTTATAAGTACGCGGTCGAGGAAACTTCTTCTGAGTAGTTGTTTTAATTTAAATTATGTTTTATTGAAAGTTAAATTTTGTTTAAATTATGTTAGTACGGCATATGCGGAGAACAATATCAACAGACCGAAATGCTGGACCACAATAGACTTCACCATTTGCACAGAGAAATATATATTTGTACACAAATATTTATTCTAAACTTTAGTTTTTAAAAAGTAAACAAAGCTAGACGGAAGTAACGTATCCAATGACTAATGAACGTATCCAATATCCAATGAGCGAGCTAAGCAATTCGAAAGGAACCGCAAAAGCAGTTCCATGGTTCGACGAGCGTTGGCGAGCAGGGGATGGAGTTCCTAGTAATTCCTAATTTACTAAACAAAATTTTGAACATATCTAATATTTATTATAAATTTTTATTATAATTTTCTTATTAAAATTTAGCATTTTATTTCGATTTTAAGCATTTGAGATTTTATATTTTATTATACTGAACTAACTGCTTGGATTTGTGATTTTTTTAAATGTTTCCCTACTTTTTTTGCTGACATTTTTTATTTTTTTTTATTTTCGGATAATTAAAAAAATTGCGGGCTTTTTAATCATCGTCATGCTGGCTGCTGTTAATCATTGATGTACTGTAAATACTTGATAGATTTAATATTGATGCAACAAGGAAGCACCAGTGAAACTTGCGATTTTTTTCAAGAAAACTGTTGTGTTTATTTACATTTCTAAATTATGTTACATTTTTATTCTCATGATAAACTCTTTTTTTCTTTTTTTTTTGATCGATTAATAACTGGTTTGATTCCGAAAGCTGCTGCACTGCGTAGTCCTTAAAAGAAATTTATGAAAGAAAAAAAAAACAATTAATGCAGGAAAAAGCAATAAAAAGCAATAAAAATGAAAGATATGTGACAAGACAGTACTTCATCAGGGGACACACTGCCTGACAACACACAGGAGCCTTTCAGTTTTCAGTGGAAAAACCATAACTGACAGTGCCCCGAGGCCCCATAATGGATAGACAAATAAGAGAAAATCATTATAAGAATTGAAAAGCACAGAAAAATAATGAGCCGGCAAACACAACTTAAAAGTACACACAGTGAGACTTAAAAATGATATGCCAACTTATAAATAAAAATAGTTACAGTTACTGTTAGAATAACCAAATCAAAATAAAATATAAATTGCCAAATCAGTAGGAATTGTCTAACTTGTCCCACAGCCCATTCTAACCAAATTTCAGATTCCATCAAATTTATTTTTTGCAAACAGAAAAATATTATTTATTTTATAGAATGCAAAACGTGATCACTTAAATATATTGAACAAACAGGTACTGAGTTAAATAAACGAATTAATAGTCACAGATCAGTCATTAAAAACTTTCCTAAACATGATAATTCTGATATTAAAGTGGTTCATTTTCAAAAACATTCTTTCAAAGATATTAATATACTTATTCCTAAATAAATTGAGGATTTAAATTTAAGATTAGATTATGAAAATATTTTTATTTGTAAATTAAAAACTTTAAACCCCTATGGGCGTAAACTTTAAACCTTTTGTAAATTAAATGGAGAAGGTAACCTAGATTTAAATAGTGTGTGCATTTATAATAAATTGAGAATTTTTAATAATAATATTTCCTGCAAACTGAAAGGATGCAAGGGGTAAACGTAAAGGTGAAATTAAAAATAAATTTATTTTGGTAGTTTTCAAAATTTTCTGCTTATTGGATGCCAATGATTTTAACATTAAAAAGATTAGGAGTTTCATTTATAGTTAAAATGGATGATTAAAGAACAATTAAAAATTATAAAATTTTCTACCCCTGAATTTAAATATATTGTTTTAGATCTTATTAAGTTTAAACTTGCAATCAACAATTTTGATTTATTAAATGTTTCAAAAATTAAAAAAAGAATTGTGTGTTATTAATTTTCTTGATAAAGATTTTGAAAGGGGTTTGCTACCTATGACTGTTAATAAACTTTCCGAATATTTCCCAATTAAAGAGAAGATCTGGGTTTCTCTTTGTTTCAGATATTGTAAGACTTTAAAGAAAAGAATTTGTAATTATAATTTCTATTGTAAAAATTTAAAAGATTTGGAGGATATTTGTTTGTGCGAACAAGAGCATTTTAAAGATTTTGTTAATAATGATTTTAAGCACATTGTCACTGGTGACCTTAACCTAATTAATAATAAAGATTTAAGATTTCTCATGGGACTTGGACTAAGTTAAGACTAAAAAAAAAAAAAAAAAAAAAAAAAAAANGTCTAAAAAAAAAAAAAAAATGCAAATAATGTTACTTAAGTTTTATTCTTGCTTCAATCAGTAAGGATTTAGATTGTTTTTGTGCGAAATGTTCAAGAAAATTCAATTGGCCTTTAGAGGGATTTAGTGAATGGAAATTTTATGTACTGTATGATTTCAAATAGAATTTTTTAAACAATAAATGTAAAATACCAGGGTTTTTATTTGAATTCTGATTTTATTAAATATATTAAGGAATTGAGCTATAATTTTATTATTTGTGTCGTTGATAAAGCCTCTAATAACTCTAATAATTTTTTGCTTTATGTGCAAAAATAATTTTTAAACATTTAATAAGTAAAGAATATGAAAACAATAATACTTTTGTCAAAATTATTAATTCTAAAAAAGAAATTGATAACAGAATTTTGACTTTTTCGAAGAAAATAGGATTAAAACTCAATAGTTTTAATTACCCTTATTTATTTCCTACAATTAAGTTCCACAAAACACTAGTTAAATTTAGATTTGTAACTTGCAGTACTGGCTGTTATAATTCTGCTTTTCGTAAAAGATTTTTTAGTTATTTAAACATTATTTTAAATAAGATTATTTCAAAGGATAAGCATTTTATTACTAATAACAACCAAGACTTTATTAAACATTTAAATAACAATAATATCAATAATATTCCTACATGTGATTTTGAAAATATACCACGCAAAAATTTACCAATATACCACACAAATATTTGTTTAGAAATTTTTGATAATTATTTAATTAATAAAGACCTTAATAAGGAGGATTGGATTTATGTAATGAAAACATTTTCGAAAATTATCTTTTTAATGGTATTTGTTTTTACAGACAAATTAAAGGTATTTCAATGGGTAATTTTTATTCAAGTAATTTTGCTAATATTTTCTTACATTATTGTGAACATAAATTTTTACAACATAATTTCGTAATTTAGTTTAGATTTATTGATGATTTAATTATTTTTGATTGCAATGATTTTGATTTAATTAATGATATTTATCCTAAAGAACTAAATTTAATTAAGACAAATACAGAAGATAATTGTGCATATTTTTTAGATCTTAAGATTAAAATTCTTAACAAAAAAAGTTTCATTGGATTATACGATAAAATAAGGGATTTTAAATTTAATGTAACTAGTTTAACATATTTTAATTCCAACTTGTACTTTAGGATTTTTAAGTATATTGTGATTAGTCAAATTCTTAGGTTTAAATTTATTTGTAATAATAAAACAGATTTTCTTTCAGCTATAGGAATTTTCAGGATTACCTTAAAGAATAATAATTTTCCTTTTAGTTACTATAATTATGATGTTTTAATTCGAAATATTTTAAATACATTTAAATAGTTTGGCCGATATTGAAGCCCACATAAATAGGCCTATGCGATGAAATTTAGGATTTATTTTCCAAAGCAAATGGCAGCATTTTTTAAAAAAATTTTGCTCATTGAATATCTATCTTTTTGGTTTCCTTTTTCAAGATTTTCAAATAGGGGTCAGCACTTGATTTATTTATAATATTTTCTCACTGATTTGGCAATTTATATTTTATTTTGATTTGATTATTCAAACTGTAACTGCAACTATTTTTATTTATAAGTTGGCGTATCATTTTTAAGTCTCACTATATGTACTTTTAAGTTGTGTTTGCTGGCTCATTATTTTTCTGTGCATTTCAATTCTTATAATGATTTTCTCTTATTTGTCTATCCATTATGGGGCCTCGGGGCACTGTCAGTTATGGTTTTTCCACTGACAACTGAAAGGCTCCTGTGTGTTGTCAGGCAGTGTGTCCCCTGATGAAGTACTGTCTTGCCAACGCACATATCTTTCATTTTTATTGCTTTTTATTGCTTTTTCCTGCATTAATTGTTTTTCTTTTTCTTTCTTAAATTTCTTTTAAGGACTACGCAGTGCAGCAGCTTTTGGAATCAAACCAGTTATTAATCGATCAAAAAAAAAAAACATTCCAGGGGATTCATAGTTTATCACTACATCGGATAGACTCGGATTCATAGTCTATCACTATAGCCGCTTCTCTATTATTCCCTATATGGTTCTTTTTGTTTTTGTCTGTAATAATCTTTGAATCTTCCACCCGAAACGGAAAAAAAAATTCTTGTCATTAGAATTTTATGTACTAATAGTTCTGGGAATTGTCTTGAAGCATGCAACGTTATTTAAGCAAATAACGGTGCGGCAATATACGAATTTCA